CATCAAATTGGCTGGGATGGCTCACAGCCACACCTGACTCACTGCTTGCCTGCACTTGTGCCCTGTCCGTCACAGAAGAACTGCCTCTGCTAGAGTACTGTGTGCACAGCTTCCTCTTTCTTCTGTTTTTTAGTTTTTTAAATTATTATATGTGTATGGGTGTTTTGCTGGCATGTATGTTTGCACCACATGTGTGTAGTGCCTGTAGAGGCCAGAAAGGATGTCAGATCCCCTGGAACTGTAGTTACAGATGTTTTTAGGCCTCCGTGTAGGTTCTGGGAATCTAACTAGAATCCTCTGGAAGAGCAGCCAGAGCCCGTAACCACTGGCCGTCTCTACAACTCCAGAGCATCCTCTGTGGTTGTTTTTTTTTTCTGATGGAATTAAACCACAACATGGCAAAATCTGAGTTTAGATAGTGTGGACCAATCAGAGTTATGTCTAGGAGTGCTAGACAGATCTGCAAGCATGATGCTTTCTTTCAGATATGTTTTGAAAGGTGAGATACAGAAGGTAGAAAATTAAATACTACAGAATGCTTAAGGTTTTGGTTTGGGTTTCATTGTTGTTGGGGTTTTTGTTCGTTTTACTTGAGGGGGTTGTTGTTAGATTTATTTGGAGGTGGTAGTGGTTTGTGTGTGTGTGTGTGTGTGTGTGTGTGTGTGTGTTTGCACATCTACATACCCATGCTCACATGCATGCTCTAGTGCAAACACATGTGGCCATGTGGCAGGCCTGTGGAGGTCAGAGGACAACTTTCAGGAGTGGGTTCTTGCCTTCCACTGTGGACTCCAGGAATGGGACTCCCGACTGTCAGTTCTTCATAGCAAGCACTTTACCCACTGAGGCAGGATCTCACACAGCCCAAGTTGTCTGGAACTTGGTGCATTGCTGAAGATGACCTTGAACATCTGGTCCCACTCCTTTGGCCTTCTCAGTGCTGGGGTTGCAGATGTGCGTTGCCACGCCCAGCATTATAGAAGGTATAACAATGCAAAGAAGCTCTCTTCGCTCACAGTCCCTGAATCCCCTCCACAAAAGCAGCCACTGTTTGATTTCTTCTGTATCCTTCCAGACATGTGCTGAATGTGACCTCATGCTCCACACCCTCCCTTTTTTGAAATGTATGTGTATGGGGGTTTTGCCTGCATTTCCATATGTGCACCATGCGCATGCCTGGTGCCTGCAGGGTTCGGAAGAATAGTTACAGGTGGTTGTAAGTCACTGTGTGGGTGCTGGGAACCAAACCTGGGTCCTCTGAAAGGGCAGCAAGTGCCCCTCACTGCTGAGCCATCTCTGCAGTAACCCCCTCATTTTTTTCCTTTGAGTCTTTTATTGCTGTTGTTTGAAATTACCACTGTATAGGGAAGCCTTGACCTCTCAGTCCCCCACCTCAGCCTCCCGAATGCTTGTTACGGGAGTGTGCGGCACACGCGGAGTTTCCTGAACGCTTGGTACGGGAGTGTACAGCACATGTGGTTCCTCCCTCCCTCTTGTCTCTGTCAACACAGTTACTAGCTGTACTTGTGTTTCTGCTTTTTCCCTTCATGTCTTCTGGCAATGGCTTCATAGCAGGGCATAGAAAATGGCCTTGTACTTAAGAGCCATGGAGTGGCTTTTCCATGGGATAGCTTAGAGCCACCAATCCTAACCTAAGATCATTAGATTTGGACAACTGCAGAGACCAGAGAGCTAGACAAAGAAGGTACAATACAAGGTATTGAAACCAGTCTTTTTTAGGATAGAGATTAATGGTAGCAGTCAGCCTAGAATCCCCCTGTGAGGGGCTGGGGGCATGGCTCAGTGGTTTATCATGGCCCTAGGTTCCATCCTCAGCGTCACCTAAAAAAATTTGTTTTGTTTTTTAATTCATATTAGGCAAGGATTTTGCCACTGAGCTACACCTCGAGCCTTGCTGCATAGATTCTGCATGTTGGTGTTAGCTCCAGACAGGACCTATACACACTCTTCACATCATGTGTTCCTGCAGGCCTTTTCCCTGATATAGAACTGCCAGGATGGAGAAAGTGCCCATTTAATTGTATTCCATGGGTCTTTTTACACTCCCTCAAGAGGAGAAAGCTGGACAGTGCTTTCTCCATGGAAGCTATTCTGATGCAGACCTGCTTCTCACTAGGGCAGAGGACCCTGCATTGAGGATTCTGGGAAAAGCCAAAACTCAAAGGTGTGGGAGGGAAGCCTTCCAGCTACCTCAGAACATTTGTGTAGGGTACTTCATCTGTCCTTCCTCCTCTTCCTCCTCTCCTCCCAGCTGTAAGTTTTTAAGTTGTCCCTGTAAGGACGGAGACAGAGCCCTAGACTTCCAGATCTGGTTTGGGGAGGAATATGGCCTGACAAGGAAGCCCCACCACCCTTTCCACCCACCCTTTTAAAGCTGCAAGGGCAGCTGCTGAGGAACAGAGAGAAAATGCAGCCTTCAAAGCCTCCCGCAGCCCAACACATCTTACTTCCTTTTTTGGCTCAGAGTCTTTCTTTCTCCAGTAACAAATGGTACATGCCGGATGCTAGCCTGCTCTAAGCTGCTTGTGATGATTGTTGTTGTAATACATGGTTATAGTGAGTAAAGCCTCCTCCATGCCTGTAACCCTAACACTCAGGAGGGTAATGTGTTTCAGGCCAACGTGGGCCACATAGCAAGACCCTATCTCAAGAAAGCGAAGCAGAACAAAGGAAAAGGGGGGCAGGGGACTGAGGTATAGTTCAGTTCAGAGTGCTTGCCTGGCATACGTGAAGCCCTGGGTTTGATCCCATCATCACAAAGAAATTAATTAATTTAAAACAGGGCTGGGGAGATAGCTTAGTGGCTAAGAGCGCTGGCTTCTTTTCCAGGGGATCCAACACCTTCTTCAGGCCTCTGTAGGTACCAGGTGCACAAGCACAGTGCACAGACATACATGCAGACAGAACACCTGTATATGTAAAACTTAAACAAAAATTAAAAATTAAACATAAGTTAGACATGGTGTAAATTTAATCCCAGTTCACTGGAGACAGAGGAAGCTGGGGCACCGCAAGTTCAAGACCAGTGTGGCTGCACTGCAGGTTCCAGGACATCCAGGGCTACGTAGAAGGACCTTGTCTCCAAAAACAAGCTTCTGCTCACACCAGTGCCTTCCTTGGTTTTTACTTGCTGGTTTGGTTCTTTTTATTTTATTGATGTGTATATGTGTTTGTTGTGGGATGTGCGTGCATGCTAAGTGCACGTGTGTGCAGGCCAGAAGAGGACATTGAATCCCCTGGAGCTGGAGTGCCAAGTGATTGTGAACCACCCACCTTAGGATTTGGGAAGCAAACTTTTGTCCCCAGGAAGAACAGCAAGCACTCTTAACTGTTGAACCATCTCTCTCCATCCCCTCACCTGGTTTGGTTTGTGTTTTAAGACAAGATCTTATTTAGCCCAGGCTGCCCCAGATTCGGTACATAGTTAAAGATTTCTCTGAACTCCTGATTCTCCACCTCCCAAGTGTCGGGATTACTGATGTGTGCCACCACACCTGGCATTAGGTAGTACTGGAGATGGAACTTGGGGCTTAGTGTGTGCTGAACAAACACACCCAGCCCCTGCTGGGTAGCTTTGGAGCCCCAGTACAAAGTGGTGTCTCGCAAGGCCTTTGCTCCTGACATTGTTTCTCCCTAGGAGCGGCAGACTCAAGTCAGAGCCCAGGTGTCCCCGCTATGTCAGTTCTAGACTAGAAGCCAGGCCGCGAACAGAGACAAGAGAAGGTCTACAAGTCATATTGTCCCACAGGCCTCTGGGTAGCAGGCCAGGAGCTATGGGGGAACGGGCTGGTCTGAAGGGAGCTGGGAGCCACAGGAGCTCCATCTCAAACATCTGCTTCTGTCGGGCCAGCCAGGTGCTTGGCCACAGATCCTAGAGCAGCAGATCTCTGGGGTGTTTTCCAGCTATGGAACACTGCCTCAGTCACTTTTCTAGTGCTGTGAAGACACCATGACCAAGGCAACTTATAAAAGAGTTGATTCGGGGCTTACGGTTTCAGGGGGCTGAGTCCATGGCGGGGAGCGTGACAGCAGGTAGGCAGGCCGGTGCGGGAGCGGGGTACCGAGAGCTCACATCTTGAGACACAACCACTAGGCAGAAAGACACTGGCAATGGTGGGACTCTTTTGAGAGCCCCCCCCCCCCTCCAGTGGCACACCTCCTGGTCCTTTCCAGGTCGTTCATCAGCTAGGGACCAAGTGTGCAAGCCTCTGAGCGTAGCTGTGGGTCAGCATGGGAAAGAGGAGGAGTGGCCCCTGCTTCCCATCTGCCCTCTGGAGTGGGAGGCCGAGCTTAGGATGGTGGCCGTTGGGTCTCAGAACCCTGTGGTGTAGGGGATGTGACATGACAGAAAACCCCACCTAACCTACCTGAGTTCCTGAAGCAGGGGTGAGGGCTTTCTGGGATACCCCCATCACTCTTGTGAGGGATGTGCTCACCTCTCACATGCCTACCCTCGTGAGCCCTGCCACCCCCCCCCCCATTCTCCTGACATATGCATCAGGACCTAACACTGGCCCGCTGGTGGCTCAACCCCTAGGGCTCCCGGAAGCAACCATAAATCTGTACTGTGCTCACAAGTCTCATGCAGTCTGTCCCTGTCTCCTCCCAGGCCTCACCTCTTCTCAGTCTCAACGTGCTCCCTCTTCCACCCGGAATGTTCTTCTGTGCGGATTCCTCCCTTGATGGTCCCTCCACCCAACCTTATTTGCTTCAAAACATGTTTCTGTCTCACACGTAGGGTCTACCTTGTTCACCTGCCTAGAATCGGCCCCTCCTGCAGGTGGCTCTGAGGTCCTTGCCTGCTGTACCACAGCCCTTGGAATAGGCTCGTTCAGGCAGGTTCCCAGCACAGGTGATGAGTGCAGAGCCAGGTAACATAGAGGAGGCACAGTCACTGGATGGTGGTGGCTAGTCTTCTCCAGTCCAGACGGCCCTGGGAAGCAGCTGAAGGCCCTCTGACTCCAGTGTTCTCGTTCCAGGCAGGTGGACACCAGCGCTAAGAATGTCTTTGGTCAGCCTCGGCTGAGGGCATCCCTGCGAGACCTCCGGTCCCCACGGAAGAACTACAAGTCAACCATAGAGGATGATCTGAAGAAGCTCATCATCATGGACAACCTGGGGCCAGAGCAGGATCGGGACACAGGGGTGCGTGGCTGCTGGCCTCGGGATGGTTTGGGAGGGGGGCAGTGCTCTGTCATGTTCCCAGCCTTTGGTGTCTGCTGGCCTGGGGTGTGCAAGTAAGCATCTCTTGTTACTCATGGACAGAACCAGGACTTAAGCCACTGGAAAAGGCCCCGGAGACCCTGGGTCTCACATCTTTCTCCCAGAGCCCAAGAGGGAAATGGTCCTACCAGCTGTTGAGAGCACAGGAACCATGTGCAGGGTGGGCTCCCATTGCCAGGCAGGCAGTCTATGGTCACCAAGACAGCCCTTCACGGAGCACTGTGGCACACACCTGTGACCGCAGTCCTCAGGAGACTGAGGCAGGGGAATCACATATTCCAGGCCAGCCTGGACTACATGACTAGCTGAGACCCATATCGGAAAAGAAAAGACATGTACAATTCAGTGGTAAAGTGCCAATATAAGGCTACGGTTGGAGGCTAGGATCAGAAACCATGGGCCATAGTCAGGGCTAGGGAACCCTGGGGGGATCATCTAGTGTTGTGACCGGTAAGGGTACAGAAGTGGATGCTGGGTGAGTAAGAACTTGCCAAGAAGCCCCCCAGGACAGGAACCACAAGCCCGGCATGCCAATCCCTTGTCCCACCCTGTCTTGGCAGCAGTCCCCGCAGAAGAGCCTGCAGCGGACACTGTCGGATGAGAGCCTGTGCAGCGGGCGCCGGGAGCCCAGCTTTGCCAGCCCGGCCAGCCTGGAGCCTGGCCTGCCCAGCGATGTGCTCTTCACCAGCACCTGCGCCTTCCCCTCCAGCACACTGCCCGCCCGCCGCCAGCACCAGCACCCCCACCCACCCAGCGGGGCACCCAGTACCATTCCAGCCACTGGCAATGGCTTCCCAGAGAAGAAATGTGAGCCTGGGCATTCTGGGGCTGCAGGTCCCTCAGGGCTGGGAAGTGGGGTGCACCACAGGTGGGAGGTACCTGGTGGTCCTATATGGCCAGTCATGTGAGGGGAAGGGTGCACAGGTGCTCCAGGGGACCTCAAGGAGCAAATATTGCTGGCCAAACACTAGGTCACCTGAGACCAGAGGAAATCAGCTTCCCCAAGGACAGGGGCTTACATCCTCTGCTCCCCAGCCTCCCTCTACCCCACCAGCTTCCCTGTACCCCACCAGCCCCCCTCTACCCCACTAGCTTCCCTTTCCCCCACCAGCTCCCCTCTACCCCACCAGCCTCCCTGTACCCCACCAGCCTCCCTGCTCCCACTTAAACATCCCATTTTTTGAACATTTACTTAATGACCCTACTTCCCCAAATATGCCATGCTTGGGGGTGGGGGCAGTCCTGGGTGAGACTTATCCACCCCTTTATTTCATCTAGCAAGTATTTATTGACTATGCCCTGTATGTGGGGTACTGGTACATCATCTCCTGAAAAAGCCATGGTGTAGCCAGCATGCTGACACATCTGTAATTCTAGCACTTGGAGGCAGGAGGGTCATGAGTTTGAGGCCAGCCTAGAATTATAAGCAAGACCTGTCTTGATTGAAAAAGAAAAAGTGGCAAAGCATCCCCGGCTGTGCTCTGCGGGCGCGCCTCTCACGGCTGACGAGCCGTGACTACAGCCCTGCTTGCTGCAGCGAACCCCATCCAGACACGCTGGAGGCTGGCTCGCCGGCTGGCTGTTTTAGTATTGAATGGCTGATTGATTTGTGACGGAGTGTCACTATGTAGCCCTGGCTGACCTGGGACTCACTATGTAGACCAAGCTGGCCTAGAACTTAGAACTTACAGAGATCCTCCTGCCTCAGCTTCCTGAATGCAGAGTGCTGGGGTTTTAGGCAGGAGCCGTCACTCCTAGCCACCTTCCATAACTCCTCCTGCTAGAAGTGGCAAGTAGTGGTGTGTGCACTGGAGGGAGGGAGGTGGGGTGCCGTGTACTGGAGGGAGGGAGGGAGGTGGGGTGCCGTGTACTGGAGGGAGGGAGGTGGGGTGCCGTGTACTGGAGGGAGGGAGGTGGGGTGCCGTGTACTGGAGGGAGGGAGGTGGGGTGCCGTGTACTGGAGGGAGGGAGGGAGGTGGGGTGCCGTGCACTGGAGGGAGGGAGGGAGGTGGGGTGCCGTGCACTGGAGGGAGGGAGGGAGGTGGGGTGCCGTGCACTGGAGGGAGGGAGGGAGGTGGGGTGCCGTGTACTGGAGGGAGGGAGGGAGGTAGGGTGCTGCCTGGCCTTGAGAGTTAGGAAATGTGTGGCATACCTTCCTCCTTTTCTTTTTTCTTTCTTTCTTTTTTTTGGTTTTTCAAGATGGGGTCTCTCTGTGTAGACCAGGCTGGCCTCAAACTCAGAGATCCGCTTGCCTCTGCCTCCCGAGTGCTGGGATTAAAGGTGTTCACCACCACGCCCAGCTATGCACAGCTTATTTTCTAAAATCCGGACTGTCTTTAGTTTAGATGTGTTCCGTGCCTAGGATTTCAGCTTAGGGGTCGTGTCCCCAATCATCTAGACATGAAACCCCCTTTATCTCTCTCACTTTATGGGGCGTGAGATAAAGGAAATTCTGGGACTCTTTTAAGGGTACCATCTCATCCCTTAAAATCTTCTTGCAGTAGTCAAGTATGGGGGACACACCTAGTATCCTAGCGCTTAGGGGGTGAAAGCAGGAAGGCTCGGGCCAGACGGAGTTCAGGGTCAGCCTCGACCGCACCATGAATTCGAAGCCAGCTTGGTCTAATGAAACCTTGCCTCGAAAAAGCTAGCAAAAATTTTATTCCAGCCATGGTGCCCCACAGTCCTTGCCTTGGTGTTCTGAGGCTTTTAGCCCCAGGGCTCTGCCTCAGCCCTATTCCTCAGGACACCCCACAGATAGCTGTGTTCTTCCGGCCCTCTTCCTTCAGGCCTGACAGTCACTGCTCTTTCTTGGAGTCCCACCATGTTCCAATCTTCCTGCCCACCAACAGAGAACCCCAGACACCCCGACAGAGCACCCCAGACACCCCGACAGAGCACCCCAGACACCCCGACAGAGCACCCCAGACACCCCGACAGAGCACCCCAGACACCCCGACGAGCACCCCAGACACCCCGACGAGCACCCCAGACACCCCGATGAGCACCCAGACGCCCCCTGGCACTAGCACACAGCCCTGCCTCCGTGCTTCCTAAGTCCATCCTTGTCTCCTGCCTCTGCCCGCAGCCTTGATCCCGTGTTGTTCGAATCTTAGATAGTCTTTTAATTTAAAAAAAACGAGTTAGGTGTCAGAGTTTTAGAAAGCTGAAAGATCAGAGAAGCAGAGCAGCCAGCCACCAGTTCTACCTCTACGAAGTCCTCAGTCTAAAGAGAGTGAGTTCCTGTCTCCTCACACCTTACATACCTTTCTCTGCCCTGCCATATTACTTCCTGGGATTAAAGGCTGTCTGTGTGCTTCCCAAGCAAAGGCATCAGGGATTAAAGGTGTGTCCACAACGGCCTGACTCTGTTTCTCCTATACTGGATCAATTTCATGTAGTCCAGTATGCCCTTGAACTCACAGAGACCAGATGATCTCTGCCTCCCGAGTGATAGGATTAAGGGTGTGTGCCACCATTCCTGACCTCTATGTCTAATCTAATGGCTGGCTCGGTCCTCTGATCCTCAGGCAAGTTTATTAGGGCACACAATATATCACCACAACTCTGGCTGCTCCTAGCTGGGGCCTGGCACTCAGGACATGCCCATTGCAAGCCAGAAGAAGTGAGAGAGTACTGTGCATGTAGGTCCAGAGAGCAGGCAGATTGGAGCCCTTCCTCCAGCTCTGCCACCCTCTCTCCATCTGGACCCAGCTTCCCTCCCCTCTGCCTTTCAAACCCACGGCCTCTGGGTTCTCCCATCCCACCCACGCCTGACCACTCTGCCCTGTTTCCCCATTACAGCCCCATTCGCTCTGGGTGTCTTCCCCTTTGGACTAGGAATATCCTGCAGACAAGGCCTAGCAGCCTCTGTTGGTGAGGCCTCTGCCTTACAGAAACATCTTAAAATACCAGGGATGCTGAGTGCTGCTTCGGGAACAAATCTGGAGCTGATTACAAAGCCTCTGATGGGCCCTAAGTCCTGACAAGACCTGCCATGGGACTGTCAGGACGTTTCCTGTCCTCCAGCATTGCTGTGGGGACAGCCAGACATCCTGTCCACACATCCCAGGGGTAGCCTGCACACCTCTTCAGGAAGGACTGCGTCTTCATGGTGACCGCAGGCCCGTCACTTCTCTGACTTACCTCCTTCTGCTCGCTCTGAGCCGCCTGGGCTGCCATGTTGTTTCTTGAACCTCCGGGACTTCATGCCGACTGTTCCATAGGAATGCTTTTCTCTCGGGTCTCTCCTGGTGCCTACCTCCCATTGCAGAGCAGTGCTGGAAGGTCACTCAGTAACACCTCCCCTGGTCCCGTATAGAAAGCTGCCCACACAGACACCCAGCATCACAGTGCCCTGGCCCCGTGAAGCCTGATGTGTACCTCATGTGAACAGTGTGAAATACCTGTGTTCCCGTCCCTTCCACGCTGTCATGCTCAGTCACCTCCGTGTCTCCACATTTTCCCACGTAGCGGCCATCTCAACCTCGGAGCTCTCACTGGTTGACGGACGGGACCGGCCCCTGCGACGGCTTGACCCTGGAATGATGCCACTACCAGATACGGCTACTGGCCTTGAGTGGTCCAGCCTCGTGAACGCTGCCAAGGCCTACGAAGGTAGGTAGCCTCCACCCAGCCTCCCTGCTCCTCAGTGGCCATCTGTTCCGGGAGGATTGCTGGAGGCCCTGTGAGTCTGCTGGACCTCACACCTGGCTTCCAGAGTCACAGAGGGAAGTTAAAACTTGGTGTTGTCATTTGCTAACCATGCATCCAAAGCAGGTGACCTCTTCTGATCCCCACTCCTGGTCTACTGAAGGAGATCCCTCACCAACTGCCGGGGCTACAGAATGGTTTAGGAAACAGCAGCGTGGTGGTGGTGGCGCATATCTGTAATCCCAGCACTCAGGAGGCAGAGGCAGGCGGATCTCTGAGTTCAAGGCCAGCCCGGTCTACACATTGAATTCTAGGATGGCCAGGGCTACACAGAGAAACCCTGTCTTGAACCTCCCCACCCCACCCCACCCCCCCAAAAAAGGTAGCCCCAGAGCAAGCCCTCCACAAACAGTGCCCTATTGAAGGCCACATAAGACCCATCTCAAAAAAAAAAAAAAAAAAAAACGGCCAAGCATGATAGCCTGATCTACAAAACAAGTTTCAAGATAGCCAGGGCTGTGTAGGGAGACCCTGTCTCAAAACAACAAAGTCCTAGTTGAGCAGTCAAACTACAGGTGACACTTCTAAATTCAGCAAACTGAGTAGGACCCAGAGTGCTAGCCCACTACTCTGCTGTTTGTAGGAGCCTCATCCTGTCTGTCACAGGTAGCTGGTAGAGCTCTGGCATCATGTCCCCACCTCCGCAAGCAGTACAGAAGAAAGACACAAACCTTACATCAGGGGAACCTTGCACTCCTGTGCACTAACGTCTTGGCCAGAGCCTCGGCCCATGGCCATGCTTTGTTGCAGCAGTAAACTGGGTATGTAGCCCGTGTGCCCGACTCAGCTGGGATTTGTGAGCTGCGGTATAGCAAGCTGGTAAAACGCTCCTGTGGAAGACGCTGTGTTGTTTTTTGCTTGGTTGGTCTGGTTTGGTTTTTTGAGACAGGGCTACTCTGTATAGTCCTGGCTGTCCTAGAACTCGCCCTATAGACCAGGCTGGCCTTGAACTGACAGAGATCCATCTGCCTCTGCCTCCCAAGTGCTGGGATTAAAGGTGTGTGCCACCACCACCTAGCTCTAAGACCCTGGGTTTGATCCCCAGTGCTGAATGAGCAATTGAATGAATGGCTTTATTTGTTCATGTGTTTTAGATAGATCTCATGTAGCCCAGGCTGGCCTTGTTCCTTCCTGTGTCCATCTACCAAGTATAGAATTATAGATGTATGCCATTATGCCCAACTTAGAATTCCCCAACCTGACCTCAGTCTGGTCCTCATGCCTCAGCCTTTCCAGTGCTAGGATTCCAGGGATGTGGCCTCACGCCTGACCTGGCCCACAGGAATACACAGCCTCTCAGCCCAACCTGGATTACATCATCACATGACCTGTGTGAACTAGGTAGATATCATTCCTGCCAACCTCTATCTGAAGGGTCATAGGAAAGCAACGGCAGTTTTGATTTAAAGTGGGACTTCTTGTTTTCATTTTACATTTTTTTTTTTGACGGTGCTAGGAGTGTACCCCCTAGCAGTATCCCCAGGCATCAGGCTTGATGTCCCCACTACCCAGCAGTGTCACAGTGTCAGACCAAGAAGTACTTGGATCCTTGACTTTGGGAGGGAGAGTGAGCTGTGGGGACAGGACCAGACCTAAAAAACATGGAGCTCAGCTGGCTGGCTCCCAGCAGAGGAAGTACCAAATGGGTACCAAGGAAACCAGAGCCTGCCGCCTACGTGTGATCCCCAGCTTTGCCTGTGAGGAGCTTAGTGACAAGCCATTAACCCCTCATGCCTCACTTCTTCATCTATAAAGTATCTCTCTGCCCCACAAGTTGTGAGTATTAGATGAATTTGTGCTCATTAAAGTGCTTACGAACCACTGCAGTGCAGAGAAGAGCAGCAGTAGAGCCCTGCCTAGAATCCCCCAGTGAGGGGCTGGGGTGTGACTCAGTGGTAGAGCCCCTGCCTAGAATCCCCCAGTGAGGGGCTGGGGTGTGGCTCAGTGGTAGAGCCCCTGCCTAGGGTCCCCCAGTGAGGGCCTGGGGTGTGACTCAGTGGTAGAACACCTGCCTAGAATAGATATGATATACTGTAGTATGAGCTTTAATAGTTCTTGTGAGTTTCTGAAGGCTTTTGGATATTCAGCCCCAGACCTGAGAGCCAGGAAGAACACAGGAGGGCTTTGGGAGGCTGTGCTCTCTGAGTCTCAGGAGCATGCCTGAGCTACATAGCAAGATCCTGTTTAAAATCTTTTGATTCTGGGCTGGAGAAATGGCATACTGATTAAGAAAACTTGCTACTCTTCCAGAGAATCTGAATTTGGTTCCCAGCACCCACTCTGGGCAGCTCACATCCACATGTAATTCCTCCTCCAGGGGAATCTGATATACTCTCTGGTTCCACAGGCATACACACACACATGCACACACACACACATGCACACACACACACACGCACACACACACACACACACACACACACACACACGCATGCACGTTTAATTAAAAAAGGGCCAGGAGCCAGTGGGGCACGCCTTTAATCCCAGCACTCGGGAGGCAGAGCCAGAGCCAGGCGGATCTCTGTGAGTTCGAGGCCAGCCTGGGCCACAGAGCGAGATCCAGGGCAGGCACCAAAACTACACAGAGAAACCCTGTCTCGAAAAACCAAAAAAGAAAGAAAAAGCTGGGTGTGGTGTTCACGCCTTTAATCCCAACACTCTAGAGGCAGAGGCAGGAGGATCTCTGAATTTGAGGCTAGCCTGGTCTACAGAGTGAGTTCCAGGACAGCCAGGACTGCACAGAGAAGCCCTGTCTCGAAAAGACCAGAAGAAAGGAAGACAGCATCAGAACAACACAGCTAACTTTAGGAACCCAGGCGTGACGGACATATCTATAGTTCCAGCACCCAGACGGCTGGAACAGGGGGTCACCAGGGGTTTGAGGCCAACCTGAGTACAGAATGACACCCTGATTCAAAAAAGAAAAGCCAAACATGGTAGCTCATGCCTGAAATCCAAGCATCCAACAGGCTGAGATAGGAGAATCACTGAGTTCAAGGCCAACCTGGGCTACAAAACGAGACCCTGCCTCAGAGAGGGGTCGGCAGGCGGAGCAGGATGGAGACAGGGTTGGCAGGAAGAAGCTGAGGCCTGCCTGCCCCACCCGGAAGAACTCAGTCCCTTCTCTCTGGTTCCCTGGCAGTGCAACGGGCCGTCTCACTCTTCTCTCTAAATGACCCAGCCCTGAGCCCAGATGTCCCTCCTGCACACAGTCCTGTCCACAGCCACCTGAGCTTGGAGCGGGGCCCCCAGACTCCTAGGACAACCCCCACCATGAGGTGAGTTTCTGTGGAAACACTGGGGTCCATCACCTGAGGGTCCAGCAGGCAGCATGTCTGCACAAAGAGGGAAGGGGGTGCTGCAGGTCACCCCTTTGCTCCCAGGGCAGGAGGTCCCTTTGTCCCTTGCCTGATGACTAGAGTTGTTATACCAGCCATGCCCTGGGGACCAGCAGTGGCCAGGTAGACTCTGCCCTTACCTAGGATACTGGGTCAGCAGATCCATCATACTTCCAACCTTGAACCCTGCTCCCAAGCGTGCCCCAGCCCCCCAGCTCTCTGCCTCCCATCTCCATCTGTCTGTTGCCCCTCCTCTGTGGCTCCTCCAGTGATGCAGACTGGCCCCTGACATCACATTTCACCCTCTTTACACTGCTGGGCATATACAGACATCTCAGCACCCCATGGATGGTAAGGCACATCTCCACAACAAGGAGACAGGGCCCACTCTGTCATCTCACCGGCTCCTCCAACTGAATGCAGTGAATTTGAGTGCTCATACTCAACACAAAGGGAAAGCAGGCAGAGAAAGCCTTAAGGGCCGTGCTGCCCACAGGGGACTTAGCAGGGTGCTCCCAGCATCTGCACATGCTGCCCACAAGGCTCTGCTTGCCACAGACCTGCACAGCGCTTAGTGTTACTGGAAGCCTTTTTTGAGGGAAATTTTGGTATATATTTTTTATCTTTACACCTTAGTTGGTCTTAGACCTTGACTGCCATCAGAAGTGTGGGCCTCTGTAGTTACAGAAAACAGGTCTTGGGGACCTGTGGCCCTTGGGCCCACTCCTGCACTTTGCCCTCCCACCTCCCTGTGTACCTGGAGCTCCCTGAGATGAGGACCAGGGAGGGGAGGGAAAGAGGAGGAGAGGCAGGAGGACCCAGCAGCCTCGCCTCCGCAGCCCTTCCCCCAAACCCCTCCAAGTGTAAGAGCCTGAAGCATCTCTAGCCTAAGTTCTATGCAAGGAAGTACCACCTGCTTCCACGATGCCAGGCAGACTTGGGGCTGGAAGATTCCCCACAGCTAGAACCCAGGCAGTGGGTCTCAGCCCCAGCACTTGGGTGGACGGCGTCCTCTGCCTCAGCCTGGGCTTCCTGTTCTGGAGCAGCCATGCGGCGGGTTTACAGGCCACAGGCGGCTGGAGGTTCTGTTAGACTGACACACTAGAGTGAAGTAGCCTCGGTTCCATCCTCACTGATGGTGCTGTTGTCCATTGGCCCACCGCGGACTTTCTGGGCGTGGGGTGGGCTCAGTCTACACTGCTAACTAGATAACAGGTTGAGTGAGTTCTTCATATCTCATGAGTACACCAAGAAGTTCTTCCCAAAGTCACACACCCCTTCTTGGGGGCAGATGCCTATTTCAGGGCAGCCCCCACCCAGTCCTGGCCTGGTGCTTCCTCATCCAACATCCACAGATAGCCTGGTCCAAGGGTGCGAAGTGGACTGTCTCTGGCTTCCCCACAGAGCTGCTCATCTGTGCCTTGCAACACTGGGCTTTCAGGAAGGTGAAGGCTCACCAGAGACCAGAGGGCCTGTACCCCAAGTCTCTCCAGCTGTGAGGAAGAGCCCTCCTCAGAGGCTGGCGGGCCTCAGAACTGACCTGATCCCTTGTCTTTCCAGTGAGGAGCCACCCCTGGACCTGACAGGCAAGGTGTACCAGCTGGAGGCCATGCTGAAGCAACTGCACACAGACCTTCAGAAGGTGAGGCGGACACGCTCTCCCCCGCTCTGCTCTGCTCTGGTCACAAGGAGACTGAAAAGTCTAGCAAGCATAGAGAAACCTGACTTGTAGCTCGGTTGGTAGAGTGCTTGTCCAGCATGCAGAAGGCTCTAGCCTTTCCATTCCCAGCATTGCCTACACTGGGCGTGATGGTGGATGCTGGTAATCCCAGCACTCAGGTCATGGAGGCAGGAGAATCAGAAATTCAGGGTCACCCTCAGCTACATAGTGAATTTGTAGTCAGCCTGAGATACATGAGATCAGATCTTTAAATTATAAATATAAATGGGGGCCATCAAAGGGAGAATGGGAGTATAGATTATAGGTCACTCACGCAGCAGAAGTCTGCAGCCAATTAAAATAAGAATTTTAGTTAGGTCTCATAGCATCTATATAAGCCAGGCATCTCACATGCCTGTAACCCCAGCCTGTGTGGGGCAGAGACCAGAGGGTCACAATTGCTGGCTGCCAGCCAATCCAAGGAAATCATAGCCACGGGTTCAGAGAGAGACCTTACCTCAAAGAAACAGGTGGAGATTGATAGGGGAGGACACCTGACACCCTCTCCCCCCACACATGCATTTGTACACACACCTACATGTACACACGTACCTAAATAAGAAAATAAGTTAAAAAGATAAATAGTAGTTTATAAACTGACTAGCACACAAGACAAAGCCAATAACTTTAGTAAGAAATAGTCCAGAAGAGCCCTAATCCTCCTGCCTCAGATTCCCCATTGCTGGGGTTACAGATGTGCCTCCACACCTGGCATCATGACATTTTTAAGGTAGTCCTGCCGGGCGGTGGTAGCGCACGCCTTTAATCCCAGCACTTGGGAGACAGAGGCAGGCGGATCTGTGAGTTGGAAGCTAGCCTAGGCTAGCGAGTCCCAGGACAGCCTGGACTACACAGCTGGTTCTGTGTGGAAGGACAGACACTAAGGACACTCAGCTGTATCTGTTGCAGCTGTGTACCCATCCAAGGGTGTGGAGGGATGAGGAGAAACAAGATTGCAGAAGGCTTTACTTGCTTAAATATTTGGGGTAATTCAAGGCAGGAAACAGCAGCGCCTCAGCAGTAAGTCCTCAATACAGAAACCAGACCGTAGTTCAGATCCCCACCCCAGTACTTAATGCTGTGTGGCCTTGGCATTCCCTGCTAGGATGCCATATCACCCTCAGGAGAGCAGAGCCTGCTCAGGCGGCCTTGCTGTGGTGAGGCTTGGCTTTTTCTTCCAGAAGGTGACAGCCCTCCCGAAGGCTTGGCGGCTGTGGGGGTGGGGTGGGACGATAGATAACATATCGGATGATTGCTTCAAGCTGTGAGTGGTGGTGTACGCCTGCGATCCCAGTGATGGGGAGGCCGAGACAAGAGGATTGCAAATTTGAAGTCAGCCTGAGCTACATAGTAAGACCCTGTCTAAAAAGATAAACTGCGCCGGGCGGTGGTGGCGCATGCCTTTAATCCCAGCACTCGGGAGGCAGAGCCAGGCGGATCTCTGTGAGTTCGAGGCCAGCCTGGACTACAGAGTGAGATCCAGGAAAGGCGCAAAGCTACACAGAGAAACCCTGTCTCGAAAAACCAAAAAAAAAAAAAAAAAAAAGATAAACTGCTTCAAAGGCTTTCCAAACCGCCTGTCAGGGTTGAGGCCAGGACATGAAGTAACCCGCCCAGGGTTGTCCATCTGGAGAGACCGAGTCGGGATTTGAACCCTTGCAGCCAGGCCTTTCTGGCCCCAGTGGCTGTGATCTATTCCTGTTGTGTGCACTACCGGGAGCACCTTGGCCTGGCCCTAACCCAGCCCTTCTGCCCCCCAGGAGAGGCAGGACAAGGTGGTGCTGCAGTCGGAGGTGGCCAGCCTTCGGCAGAACAACCAGAGATTGCAGGAGGAATCGCAGGCCGCCAGTGAGCAACTCCGCAAGTTCGCAGAGCTCTTCAGCAGGGAGAAGAAAGAACTCTGAGGCCCCTGGGCTCAGCCCCTGGGCCTCCCCTGGCTGGCAGGCAGTGGGCTTCTGGTTGCAGGGTGACGGGTCATCCAGCCACAGCCCCGCACCCACGGCTCCGCCCCGCAACTCAGGAGCCCCAGGCGCAATGAGCCAGCTTGGCTGGCCTCAGGCCCTTCTCAGCTGCTCCCTGTGGCCCCGCAGGCCTTGTAGCCTGTTCCTAGGACCCAGCTGCCTGGAGCTGTGATAGTGGGAGGGGTCCAGGAGCCCCTGCATGAGAACTGTGGAACAGAATGGGCCCTTTCATCCCCCACTCCCTGATGGTCCAGGGCTCCTCTCTCCCTCCCCAGTGCGCTGGCCCCAGACAGCATGGACATCACCCTGAGTCTCCCTTCCATACAGAAACCAGGAGCACTTTCATAGAGTTTAAATTATTTTCCTGGGGCCCCAGAATGGACAGGAACCCCTAGCATCCAGATCCACTCCTTTGAGAAACCCTGTTTGTACAGTTAAGACTGTTTCTACGATCTTTTTCTACCAGCTCCTCTCCAGCAGCCACAGGCTCCTCTGCCTTCAGCTACTGATCCGGCGGCCAGCCGTGGGCTCCTCCCCTAGCACAACTAGGCCATTGCCTCCCACCCCAGAGGCAGCAAGGAGCCCCAGGGCAGGGCTGAAGCACAGCCTTCACCTGTCTGGCCCTCTTTTCTTTTTCAAGTCTCCCTGGCCACACTCCAGCCCCAGCGGCCACCAGACACACTCACTGTGCTCCCCGGGGAGCACTCAGTGCAACCCCCAGAGACGCTGATTCTCCAAAGGCAATAAGGGGCAGCTCAGTCTGGGTCTATGCTGCTCACCCAGGAAACACAAATTCCCCTTTCTTTCTTCTTTAAAAACAAACAGAAAAGAATATATATATATATTTATTTTTTCATGTAGAGTTGTGCCAGAACAAGTTTGAATGGCCACGATCTGTGGATTCCCCAACCCCAGGGTCAAGACATGTCCCCACGGACTGGGGGTCAGTGTGAGGACCCAGAGGGATGTGGGGGTGGCAGACAGGGAGAAGTCGGCAGCATGGATTGGACCCAGAGCTTCCTGGTCCAGCCCTTAGCCCAGGACCCTTCACCTCTTTGGGCCCATGACCTCTTGGGAAGGGCTCTGAGACCACACACGACAGGCACTCCACTCCAGACGTGCCAGGCTGGAGGGCAGACGGGTACCCACAGCTCCCTATGACCCGCCTCTGGCCCTGGGGAACCCTGGGTTATGAGGGAGCAGCCTGCCATGTCCTTCACCCTCCGTGGGTTGATAGTGGCAGACCAGGGTACCCAGTGTCCTCAGCCCTGGCCAACTACTGTGATGTCCCTCTCCTCCTGATCCCCTTCTAAAGGGTTCTCCAGCCCTGCCCCTCCCCCTTCCCTCCGACCCCGACCTGGAGCCTGCCCCCCCCCACTCCTTCCTTCATCTGTCTCTTTAGTGTGTCTCCTCACATCTTCAGATCATTCGAATCATTTTGGGGACCTAATCATGTACATTGACAATTGTAAATTATAATTTTTGGTTTTGTTCTATTATTTTTGTAAGAATTTCTGCAAAAAAAACAACTATTTAATTGAGGTTGATGTTCTGTCTGATGGCTGGAGATAGCAGCAGGCTTTCTTTTCCCACGTTGATTTGTTCCATTTGGATTTTTTATCATTCTTTATTGTTCCCTGCCATCCCTGTCTTGAGATTTCTGGCATGTTTCAGGAGCTTTCAAAGGAAATAAACATTTCATAGAAATGGCTGGTGTGCTCACAGGCAACTGCCTGGAAATCATGCGGGCTCCCTCCTAATACGTATCACACCCCTGCTGCACAACATACACTTGCCAGCCTTACAGCTTTTCTTCAGCATCCAGACAACAGACATCTGACCCTCAGGATGTAGGATTGTGCTGAAGTAAAAAAAAAGACTAGGTCTGCATGGTAACGCATGCCAGGTGGGTCTCTGAGTTCTAAGCCAGCCTGCTAGAAATAGTAAGTTCCAGGCTACCGAGGGCTACACTGTGAGACCCTGGTTTTTGCCAGGTATAATGGCTTCAGCTTGTAATCCCAGCACTCTGAGGCTGGGGCAGGAGGATCCCTGGGAGTTCAAGGCCAGCCTGGACTCCACAGCAAGAGCCCACCTCTCTCAAAGAAGAAAAGGCCAGTTGTGTTGATACACATCTGTAATCTCAGCTCTTGAAGTGAGGGGGCATCAGGAATTCACGGTCATCCTAGGCTACATAGCAAGTTCAAGGCCAGCCTGTGCTATCCCCAAAACAAGTGGTAATAGTCCTTTAAAAAAAAAAAAAGACTGCTGGGCTAGAAGTGCCTCAGTGCTTAGGAGCACCAACTACTCTTCCAGAGGACTCTCGATGCCCAGCACTCAGATGGCAGCTCACAGCTCCAAACCCAAGGGACCCTACTCCCTCTTCTGATGTTTTAAGAGGGGGGAAAAAAAAAAAAGCCGAGCAAGGTAGTCCACACCTTTAACCCCAGCCCCTGGCAAGCAGATCTCTGAGTCTGAGGCCAGCCTAGTCTGCTAGAGTTCCAGGGCAGCCAGGGCCTTGTTAGACCCCGTCTCAAAACAAACAAAAACCTGAGATGTCAGGTAAAATAAGGGCCATCCTAGCTGAGGGACTCAGACTCAAAAGTGAAGGCCCAACCCCAGGTTCCCACCGCCGCCGCCGCCACCCACTCCCCTTCCAAACTCCATCTCGTTTGTATATATCCGCCCGCTGTCAACGCATCTCCCCACTGGGTCCCACTGTGGCCTCACCTCCCTCTGCCAACAGTCCAGGGATCGGGTTGCCGCAGAGAGCAGCCCGACTGTGTGATCAGTCTCTCTCTAGTCCACAAGGAAGTGTCTCCAACACACTCTTGAAGCCTCAGCCAGGATCAGGTCCTCGGTGACCCACTTGGCTAGAGGGGAGGTGGGGGGCAGCTTAAATCTCGATCTGTGGACATGTGCGGGTGGGCGGGACAGGAGGCAAACGGACTTCAGACTCAGGAATTCCACGGCAGATCCCAAGGACCCGCCTCCTGGGTGAATGCTGCCTCTCTGGACAGGACCGCACCCCCCACAACTGGCTGTCCTTGGCTTCTTTGTGTCTCTACGCTCACCCCTGCCCCCCAAAAATGTCTTCCGAAAGGCATTTGCATATATCCAGTGGAGAATCAAGCCTTCCAGCTTCTCAGACATCCTCACTCTCCACCCTCCTCAGGGCCCCATCCTCCAGCCCTGCCCTCCCCCCACCAACCCGGGCCAAGTGGGGAGGGAACCTGGGAACAAACTGTTCTCACATCTTCTCCTGGCCCGGGAGACACACCACCATCTCCCAACACCCCACAACTCACACGCACCGCGCACGCACGCCAAGCCCTGATGGCACCGGTACGGCCTGCAGTCCCTTCCCTTCTTGCTCCAGTTTTTCAGTCTCCCTCCTCCCCCACCTCTACTCCGGCTGCCACTCTATCTCCAGCCTCATCTGGCTGGCACTCTCCAGATTTCTGTTGTCCCCACCCCACCCCTTTTTTTTAAGACAAAGCTCACAGTGTAGCCCAGGGTGACCTGTAACTCACCATCCTCCTGCCTCAGCCTCCAGTGCTGGGATTCTGAGCCACATGGTGTGCTACCATTGCCTTCCAACCAAAGAACACCGCCCACCTCCTCATCCCAGTCTAGGGGCTTTGCCTCTCCCTCCCGGAGTGGCTCCTTGCTCCGTTTGCTTCCTCCTGACTTTGTAAATTTTCTGCTTCTCTCTCCAAAATGCTGTCCACTTCGCCCTCCCCTGGTCCTTTGCCAGAGACTGGCTTTTTTTTTCTAGACTAGTCCTCCATCCTTGTCCTCTTCCCTCAGAATTCTGGGGGGCTCTCTTCATCTGTGTATCTCTCCGGCTTTGTCCTTTATTCATTCAGTAAATTTGTGACCTCAGAATCCTCCTCCTCCCTGATCAGTGCCCTGATTCTACACACACACACACACACACACACACACACACACACACACACACACACACACGCACACACGCACACACGCACACACACACACCCCGTCCCCTTGAATCCCTGTATTTTGAGATGTCCTGCCCTTCTCCACTTTTAGCCACACCCAAGACGGTGAATCCCAGGTGACAGCCAGCCATGCTGGGGTGCCATCTCCCCACCCTAGCCTGGGAGGGGGCTGCCTTCAGGCCTCTCCAGCCCTCCCTTCCCCCCAGCCCTCACTCCCACCTCCCTCTCCTGCCTCCCGATGCAGCTGCAGCAGCCCGTTGCTAGGGCAACCACAGCTGGCTGGGTGGGAGCCCCTCCACCCCATCCCCCTCTTCTCTGCAGCAAGACCAGGAGGAGCTGGGACAAAGCCAGAGGGAGGCAGGGTGTAGGGGCAAGGAGGTGGGGGCCGACCACAGTGGTTTCTGCCCCAGTGAGGCCCCTTGGCTCCCCATCTTGGTGACACCCAAAGGAGGTTAGAGAAGGAGGCAGTCATGGGTAGAGGGGTCAGGCCCAGTTTAATACACAGAACAAGTTAATTCACAGCAGAGGCAGGCAATAAAGGAGACTTGGTGGCAGAGGGGGGCACTCCTGGACTGGGGGTAGACTCCCCAGGCCCCCCACCTCCCCCACCTGCAGTCTCAATTTCCCTTTTTAGAACCCGAACAACAAACACACACAACCACAAGAAACAACCACACCCCCTCGCCACCCCCAAAATGGCTAACGAGGTGGGGCAGGAGGCAGCCCGGCCTGGCCGGGGGGCAGGGAAGGGAAGGGGCTGAGAAGAGAGGGGAAAAAAACGAGTCCATTGCAATCTGTGCTTCTCACTGCAGCGGGCGGGCCGCCTGCCTGCCTGCCTGCCTGCCCCGCCCCGCCGGCCTCCCCGAGCTGCACGCCCAGGGCCTGGCGGGCACCAGTGGGCGCAGGGTGGGACTATCAAGGAGGGCAGGAAGAGTTCAGAACCACGGTTCACATCATGCAGTCTCCACGGTGGGTACTGGGAGAGGGCAGTGGGTGGGCACTGGGCCCCCCTGGCCTGGGTGTGAGGAAGGAATGGGACCCACCTCAGATGGGGAGTTGAGACGATTGCAACTCCAGGAACGGGATGGGGAGGTGCCAGTGAGGAAACTGGTAAAGTCGGTACCCAGCAGACACTCGCTGCGCCCCGCCACCCAGCCAGGCTTTATAGGACTCTGTATATATTAATTTCTTTTCTTTTTTTTTTTTTTTTTTAGTCTTTTTCTTTAGAAAAAGGCTCTTTCCGTGCCCCCAGCTGGCATCCACTACCCCCTATGCCCGCCCAGAGGCGGGGTATGGCTTTGAGGGGAGCAGAAGCCCCTGGTGCCCATTTGCCAAGGAATGGAGAGGGGGGCAGGAGGAGCCCTACTGGACCCACCCACCCACAGGGTAACATTCCACTTGCAGAGGGAGAACGCTGTGGCCCCCTCTGGGCTTCACCCTCTCCCTCCCACTGGGGACACCGAGTGGGAGGAGCCAGGAGCTCCTCCAGCCAGGAAAGTTAGCACCACCCAAAGGTCCTGGAGAAGCAGAGCCAGGCCTAAGTGAGGGTGATGTAGGCAGAAGCCTTTTCCTTCAAGTGCCGGAGGCAGAGGTGGCAGCTCCAGCTCCCTGCGGGGGAAGCCACAAGACAAAATTAGACTCAAGCCGAAGAAGGGCGCCCCCCACCTGTCCCCACCCAGAGCACATGGTCTCTGCCGCCAGGAAGACAGCGTTCCAACCCACCCACCCCATGTGTCGCCCACCTCTTCCCTCACCTTCCGGGGGCTCCGCCATGGGAGGGCTCAGGCAGTACATGTGGTAACCTCGGTCGCAGTCATCACAGAACAGCAACTGGTCCTGGGGGGTGAGACCCGCCCAGCTGGCACCCTGGGGGCATGGGCACCAGAAACCGGGGTGGGGGGCTGGGGCAGGGGCTAGGTCCCAGGGGCCCTTCTGAGAGAGCTGGCTCTGCAGTCTGTACCGTGGGGCCCACTGGCCTCGCTTGTCCACTCAGAGTGTCCTCCGGACTTTGTAACTATGAAATACTAAACGATGTTCAGCTGGTCCGATACCAACTCGGGAGCAGTGAGTACAGGTTCAAATCCTGTCCCTACGATTTTCTCAGCTGGGTGACCTCAGGTGTCATTCTCCCTCCCTGAGCTCAGCCTCTTCCATGTGTAGTGGGAACAAGAGCACCAGCCACAAGGGAGGTCGGGAGGCGTCGGGGAGGAGGAATATAAAGGACACTGGTGAATGCAGGGATGCACGCTACTGCTGGCCACCCAGGGGTTATGAGCAAGAAAGGCTTGAGGCTTCATGGGCAAAAGCAGCAGAGCCAGGCTGGAAGGGCAGCGGAGATGTGCCCAGGAGGTGGGACAGGTACTCACGTCATTCTCTGAGGTGCCACACAGACTGCAGGACTTGCATTCGATGCACTGCCAGCGGTAGGTCCGCACAGCTGCGGTCATGTTCACCGTGAACTGTAAACACGAGGGATGTCCTGGGGACCAAGGGGCAGGGATGCAGTTAGCGAGTCATTGTACCCCTGGTGGCTGCTGACCCCTGGGGAAGTAATGGCTCTATCCCCACCCCTGACTCAGAGGTCAAGATGAGCTTTGTGGTGGGACCCTACCCCCAAGACCGACATCCGGAAGCTGGACTGCCGGCAAGCAGCTGTGTGTTGGCCACCACAGTCTCCTACTCAGCCATCATGACAACCACACTCTGCTCCCCAGAATACCATGGCAACCGCATTCCATTACCCGC